CACAGACACACAGACACACACAGACACACACACACACACACACACACACACACACAGCTGCAGTCATAACGGTTAATGACTAGCTCATGCAAATACTCGTATTATTTTAATGTCCAAAATTCAAGAGAACACATGTCACTGTTTTTAATTAAAACTACCCTTACATTTCCTAGTTTTTTAAATATATTTTTACAGAATTTGACATTAAATTAATTTTTTTTTTAAATCTTCAAATATTTTTTAATTTACTAATCACCGATTTAAGAACAAATGATTCACCTTTGTGTTTAAACTCATCATTAATTCATCACAATGTGATTTGATGTGGGCTGATGCAATACTGCTGGAGGATTTTAAATCTGTGAGCGTGTTTAGGTCAGATGTGTGTGCATGGCTTCCGAGCTGGTGAATGATAATTAAATGCAGATTGTCTTTTTCCTCATTATCACCAACAGTCCGTTCATTAGCAGATTCGTGATTGTGCTTCTTTCTTATAAATTGATACAATTTCAGTATTTGTCTTCTGGGTTTATGAGCCCATAATATTCGTTTTTCACGATGCATTTCACCCGAGGATTTATTCACGCTGTGTGTTCAGGAAATGAAGCGTTAAGAGATGTTTAAAGGGTTTCTCTTTTGCTCAACTTTAAACCCCCTCACAGTCACATGTCACACCTACAGCAGCTGTGTTTAACCTGAGCTCAGATCAAATCCAAAAGTACATTTAAAGCATCTCTCCAGCTCCGGGTTCTTCCTCTCCAACATTCAAACAATCCTCATTAGGCTGTGCTATTGGCCATGGCGTGCATGACGTCACCAAATCCGGCGCCTCTAATTGGAAATAATGAATGCGAAGGTGGCGGTGCAGAGCTTATTAGCAGGAAATTATATCCTATTATAGCGTCCCACTGCTTATCATCTGATTAAAACCACGTGGTTACACATTTCATTTCACGCCATTTTATCACATTCACACAGGAGGAATTCTCAGGCTGAAAGCTGCATTTGGAGGAAACATATGGAGTTTTCCGCACCACCACATCAACACATTTAAACATGGGTTTCTTAAATGACCAGAATGGAAGAGGCTGAGCTGACGGTGTAACAATGAGTCTGATGAACACACACACACACACACACACACACACACACACACACACACACACACACACACACACACACACACACACACACACACACACACACAATTCACAGCCGCAAATTTGAGCTAGAAATAACGACTTGTAAATATATGAATACGTTTTCCACAGGTCTTGCATGTAATGAAACTGCAGCTACTGCACATCCCTGAATGTGGAAGAATTTAACAAAATATATCAAAACAATTATAATAGTATAAGGCATTATGTGGGCTGTGTGTATTTTTTTAAATCATATTAAACTTGACTCAAGGTTGCGTTTTTGAAACTGTTTTGATATGTAATATTATTCTACCCTAAAACAAACAGTAGCTAATATAACTAGGTTGTCGAAAATCTTTGCACCTCCTTTTTTTATTAACAATACTTCAAATATAAAATATATTAAATCCCTTAAACTTCCCAAAATATCCAAAGTAACTACGCAAGCCTGTGTGTGATGTGAGTGACAGGGAGCTGTGTTACCTATAGCCACGTGCTGTGAGGCCGCTGAGTGTCTCTCCAGGGATCCCTGGAAAAAAAGACGACCGTTTTATTCTTCGGATGGACTCGGAGCCAAATGACCTCCTGAGCATTCTGCGGCGCGCCAGCAGACTGAGATCTGCTCCCGCAAAGTAACGTGTTTTAACAGAGAGATGGTCGGCGTGAAGACCTCCTCCGTGAACAGCTTCAGCATCCCGAAAATTCAAAGTGCAAATTACTCATACAATTGTGCAGAACAACATATTGCACAACATCTTCATGTTTGAACATAAAGGAGGATGGTCAGCGGCTTTCGCTAAATGAGGCTCTGATATTCTGCAATTGCACACACACAACTACTGCCTCGTCTGTGTACAAATAAAATACAGATAAAAACAATACATAGTAAAACCAAACTTCACATTTTAAATCTGAATTTCCACAATTACGTTTTTTTTTTTTAAAGCAAAGCACCCTTTGGTTTCCCTCTGCCTCTCCTCATGCATTTACCCCACATTAATACTCTCCTGTTCATCATGTGAAACGTTGCATAATCCCACTTGTGTGTGTGCTTCCCTGCTCCAATCCCCCCTGAAAGCTCCACGCATTCTGCACACAGGCCTCGTATACTCGGTGCGTACGTGTGGACTGGAGACTTGGCCTTGTGATCCCTTTATCCGCCAGCTATGGGTGTGAATGCCACCACTTTGTTTTATTACGCATGCAGCGCGGGGCTGTCGGCTGCTAATCCTCATATCTGAGCCACATGTCCGCTAAGGGCTTAATGTGGAGCCACAAACTAAAAGAATGACAAGCTTTTCTGTTTTTGTCCTCATCGTGTCATGTTGGGTTGTTGTTTTTTCGTGCCATATGTTGCCCGATAGCTGGAGAAGTGACCCTGTTAGTGCCCGGAGGTGTGTGTGTGTCAGTGTGTGAGAGAGAGAGAGATGAAATCAGGTCTGGGAGCGCCTCTTGGCCTCTGTGAATGGCGCATGTGAAGCCTGTGCACAATGCGTCATTTAGGCTGAAACCCTGAGTTCTCCCTCAGAGACAAAACACCTGCAATTACAAGTTTCTCTCCCCTGAAGCATGTCTTCCTCTCACACTGATCTGAGGCCCTACCCCACACTGCAGGCTCAGAACACATCATTTAGAGTTATTACATCTACACCAACCTGTCATGCAGTTTGAAAATAAAACATTGAATAAAAGACAAAATATGCATATTTAGTGGTGTGCAACATCCAGCTCGTATTCGCTCCCAGCAGCTGATGACCCCCCCCCCCCCCCCATCCTGCTACACTCCGCAGACAGAAAACATTTTTAAATTCAAGCAGAAAACATGCTGCTCTAACACGCATCGCCCATATTCTCCAGCAACACACAACCACACACACACACACACCGACACACACATCCTGCTCCTCTGCGTGCAGGCTGGAAACGCAGGAGAAAGCGCGTTTTCCTCCGGTGTTTTTAACCGATTTCCCGCACCTGCCTTTCTCTCTCCCCCCGTTTTTTGTTGCAGAAAACCCACAGTTAGTAGCCTATACTCACGGTGTGTCTGTGCTCTGCTCCCCGGCAGGAGAAGCGTGCAGCTCGGGAGATGGAGACCGAGTGATCCGGAGGGGGGGCTGAAACTCAGCTTCATTTCTGCGGCTGGTCGTGACGTCACCGTGGCTCCATCCATTCAGGGTTTCCCCCCTGTTTCATTATCCTCCCCATTATTTCCCGCGGAGGTGGACTACACACACGCACGCACACACACACACACACACACACACACACACACACACACACACACACGCTCTCACACACACACACACACACACACACACACACACACACACACACACACACACACGCTCACACACACTCTCCCTCCTCCTCCTGGCTTGCCATCGCTCTCGTCAGATGCAATATGAACTTAAAGCATGCTGCTCTAAAAACATATACTGCCAGCAAGACCCTCCCCTTTATGACACGAGGCAGGTCTGCCATTTGTCTCCACCCTCAAAAAAGAAAGAAGACGCAGGTCGTGAATAAGCATGGAGCTCATAAGAGAAACTCATTGTCTGAGTTCAAAAACGTGCATATTTAAAGTGAATATTAGACATGCTGATGTCGGTGAGCAGACACCGATGAGCAGAACACTGATTCATGCTTTTACAATACTGTTTTCAAACAACAAAGCATATTGGTTTGGCTTTTCAACAACAAAAGACACATCGGAGACAAATCAAGGTGCAGCTACAAGTCCAGAGAAGCTCATTATCAATTCATGTTCCTTGGTTTCATTTTACATTTTGGACAAAACGGATTCATAGCCAGAGGTAGAAGTACTCAGATCCTGTACTTGAGTTAAAGTAGAAGTACTCAGATCCTGTACTTGAGTTAAAGTAGAAGTACTCAGATCCTGTACTTGAGTTAAAGTAGAAGTACTCAGATCCTGTACTTGAGTTAAAGTAGAAGTACTCAGATCCTGTACTTGAGTTAAAGTAGAAGTACTCAGATCTGGTACTTGAGTTAAAGTAGAAGTACTCAGATCCTGT